AAAAGAGAGAGCCCAAAAAAACAAAAACAAATAATGAGAGAAAAAGAGAGAAGGGACAATGCTACTATCCTTTTACCACACTCGTGCTTCGGAGTAGCACCATGTTCTTCATATAGAGAGTCTCTTGAGTTATCACTTTCATATACTAGTGAGAATTTTCATTATAGAACTTGGCTTGTATATTCCGATGATGGGCTTCCTCAAATATCCGAGGTCTTCATGAGCAAGCTAGTTGGATGCACACCCACTTAGTTTTCAGTTTGAGCTTTCATACACTTATAGCTCTTAGTGCGTCCATTGCATGCTGATACGTCCCCAATGTATCTATAATTTTTGATTGTTCCATGCTATTATATTATCTGTTTTGGATGTTTAATGGGCTTTAATATGCTCTTTTATATTATTTTTGGGACTAACCTATTAACCGGAGGCCCAGTGCTAGTTTCTGTTTTTTGCCTATTTTAGAGTTTTGCAGAAAAGGAATACCAAACGGAGTCCAAACAGAATGAAACCTTCGCGATGATCTTTCTTGGACCGAAAGCAAACCAGAAGACTTGGATTAGAAGTCTGGAACGCCACGAGGAGGCCACGATATAGGAGGGCGCGCCCCCACCCTTGTGGGCCCCTCGTAGCTCCACCGACGTACTTCTTTCGCCTATATATACTCTTATACCCTAGAAACATCAGGGGGAGCCACGAAACCACTTTTCCACCGCCGCAACCTTCTGTACCCGTGAGATCCCATCTTGGGGCCTTTTCCGACGATCTGCCAGAGGGGGAATCAATCATAGAGGGCTTCTACATCAACACCATTGCCTCTCCAATGAATCATGAGTAGTTTACCATATACCTTCGGGTCCATAGTTATTAGCTAGATGACTTCTTCTCTCTCTTTGATTCTCAATACAAAGTTCTCCTCGATGTTCTTGGAGATCTATTCGATGTAATACTCTTTTGCGATGTGTTTGCCGAGATCCGATGAATTGTGGATTTATGAACAAGATTATCTATGAATATTATTTGGTTCTTCTCTGAATTCTTATATGCATGATTTGATATCTTTGCAAGTATCTTCGAATTATCGGTTTAGTTTGGCCTACTAGGTTGATCTTTCTTGCAATGGGAGAAGTTCTTAGCTTTGGGTCCAATCTTGCGGTGTCCTTTCCCAGTGACAGTAGGGGCAGCAAGGCACGTATTGTATTGTTGCCATCGAGGATAAAAAGATGGGGTATATATCATATTGCTTGGGTTTATCTCTCTACATCATGTCATCTTGCTTAATGCGTTACTCCGTTCTTATGAACTTAATACTCTAGATGCATGCTGGATAGCGGTCGATGTGTGGAGTAATAGTAGTAGATGCAGAATCGTTTCTGTCTACATGACACGGACGTGGTGCCTATATTCATGATCATTGCCTTAGATGTCTTCATAATTATGCGCTTTTCTATCAATTGCTCGGCAGTAATTTGTTCACCCACCGTAATACATGCTATCTCAAGAGAAGCCACTAGTGAAACCTATGACCCCCGGGTCTCTTTCCTATTATATTTCATCTCTTTTCCATATTATCGCATTTCGTTTACTATTTTGCAATCTTTACTTTCCAATCTATACAAAAAAATACTAAAAATATTTACTTTACTATCTCTATTAGATCTCACTTTTGCGAGTGACCGTGAAGGGATTGACAACCCCTTTATCGCGTTGGTTGCAAGGTTCTTAATTGTTTGTGCAAGAATTAAGCTTGGGGGTGCTGATACGTCTTGGTCGTATCTATAATTTTTCCACGTCGCAAACGACAGTGTGGAAGATGTCCGGTGAGATAGTGAGGAAGAACCACCGGATGATGGTGGCGTCGATGGACATCCAGTTGGCGTCACGACGCATGGCGAGAAAGTCGATGGTGCCGTCCACATGATCACGAAGGTTGTACTCACGGAAGAGGAGATTGAAATAGGTCTTCCATGCATAGTAGTTGGCAGCGGTATGGGAGAGTTTGATGGGGACGTGATCGGAGAGGGTGATGTTGCAGATGTCAGCAGCGAGGGGCTCGTCGGAGTCAGAGCCGAAGGTGGAGGCGAAGGGGTTGCTAGGGTTGCTGGAGGAAGACATGGCAGCGGTGCGGGTGGGAGGAGGCGGCGACGCGGGTGGGATTAGGGTTAGAGTTTCGGTGGAGGAGAGGGAGAGGCGTGGCTGGAGGGAGCGGCGCGGTGGGAGAGAGGCGGCGAAGGGAGGGGGAAGGTGGCGCGGCGCGGCGGCTGAAGGAGGCAGCGGCGGCACGGCTAAGGTAGGACTGAGGGAAGGCTGATACCATGTAGAATATTATGATGCAACTCTTGATGTATTGATCGGGTGCAACCGCACGTATATATGATGTACAAAGTGGGCCACGACCTCAACTATATAAAAAACTAGAAGATGAGTCAGATACACAAATATGCACGTAACATATATATACTCAACATTATCAATCATCCTAATGGTAAGTTTTATTTACAGTGATCCTATGTTCCTATTTTCTAAGACTTGTGCATGCTCGGTTAGAACGTTCGGGATTTAACTATGGCAAATCAAATATTTTTAATGGCAATTTTAGTGACATGGGATGACAGGTCTAGCATGTCAAATCCGTACTCAATGTATTTGAAAATTGTTTTCTGTGTCAACTAAATTTGTCGTCCCCGCGTCACTAAGATTGTCGTAAACAAAAACGTTCGATTTGTCAAGGAAAAACTGTTGGAGTGTGATGTTCGACCCTCTCTCACAGATCGATCTTTTAGTTGCATTCGCTAGAGCATGCACTTTTACATGGTATCCGGGCCAAGAGGTCTTAAGTTCAAGACCCTGCCAACGCAGTATTAAATAAAAACGATTCTGCAGCCTATATCGATCCCACGTCTAAGGACTAAAATAGCCTAGACGCGAGGGAGAGTGTTGAAATATATTGCCCGCCTTCCTACATCAGTTCGGACTTTTGGATGAGTTGGCTGGTGCATGAATTGAATATGTTGGACCGATTTTTATGTCCAGACACGTGGAGTTTGGCCCGGTGCATTGGATTATTTATTTTTTGAATAGTTTGGACTGCTTACCACATGTGTGATTCTCATCACGTTGGAGTTGATCTCAAGCCCTAGCCGAATCGGGTGTTCCGCGAAAGGCAAAACCGATACCGCGTAAACGAGTCACTGCCCACGGTCAACGCATATCGAACATGATTGGTTTGATGCCAAAAATTGGCATGTCAATGTTTGGCATTGTGCCAACTATTGGCTACTACTTGGTAGGTTATCGAGTTGTCTTGCCTATCTCACATAAAGTTGCCAATAGTTGACAAGTATTGACAATGGCAGCTTTTGGCTATCCAAATATTGACAGCAAACCAATCATACTCATCTGCTCGAAAAAAAAAAACCAATCATACTCATCGTTTCCGTCTCGCATCTTCCGACTCTGCTCCTCTCCCGAGCTCACTCTCCACCTCCTCCCCCTGGATCCCCTCCGCCCCGTTGCAGCATTGCCGGCGCCGGTGGCAGCCTGAGTTCCCCACCTCGACGTCCCTCTACGTTTCGGGGAGCTAAGCAGCACGAGGAGTCACGGCGGCGGATCCCCTCTTCGGATCTCCAAGCCCAGCCCCAGTGTTGTCGTGGGCTGATTGCCCTCTCCTCTCCTTCCTCCGGATGGCATATCAGGTCAGGGCTAGCTCTTTCTTTGTTTTCTTGCGGTGCTTCTCCTCATAGCTGCTGGAAGGCGTCATTTTAGTTCATGTTGATTGTGGGTTTGTCCTTTTCACATTCGTAATTCAGTAAAAAAAAAAACTTGGCGAGCAGAGCTGAGAACCTAGTTTAGAGACAGTGAGCAGAAGCACTTTGTCTGACATAGCAACATTATTCTGTAGTCTGTACTTTGTAAACATTTCTTCAGAGTATGTCTAGTCTGAAGTCTGAACTTGTATCGGTGAGTCTTATCCACTTGATGCATGAAAAATGTTTGTTAAAAAAATTCTAGTCTGAAGCCTTTGAACTACGTGATGCAGTCTTTGTCAGCTAGTGGTGAAATTCATTACTGAAGTGCATGTGACAGCAACCGCTTGATGCTAGATTCTCTATTCAGAACACGCATGCTTACGCAAGTGAGCTTGCTTTGGCATATAACCAAACACAGTCAAGTAGGAGTAATTTGATACTACTCTTTACTGGTCCGAACCAAATAAAATGCTACTCACACTTTACATACCAATACTCTTTACGGTGAAGAGTAGTCGTAGATGGTTGGTACCCACATACCAATACTCTTTACGGTATTCCTTTTCCTGTCAGAAAGCACCTGGATGCTGCTTCGTGTTTTGTTCCGTTGTCTCCTTGGTAATGGAAGGTCGTTTCGAAAAGAAAAACAGTTAATACCACACTAGAACTGAACGATAATGATTTATCTTGCTATCTCCCATCTAGTATTTCGAGCTTTCCTTATGGATGCATTCCCTCCATCAATGAAGTCCAGCAACAAAATTGAATATTTTTCTACAATTTTTGCAAATTACTGAAGAAGCAACCTTTGTTTATTATAATTAAACCAGACAATGTTTATTCTTTATAACCTAGAGAGTATGTTCTGTTATTAGTAACAGTTATTAAATGGGGGAAGTCCAGCACTTTTATCCTCTTGATTTATGTGTTGGACTCAAATCAACTCTTATATTACCCCATCTTTTGATCAGCTTCCTAACCTTCAGCAACAAGAGGAGGCATTTTATGGCAAACTACCTTTAAAAACGCACATTAATGGTTTCGTCAGTACATAGGCATCTAATATGTGGCCACAGATCACCTGCCAACCATTGATTCTGCAGAGTACTCTTATGTTGTTGATAACTCTGGTTATCTGAGATTTGAGCTTCACGCCTTTGGAAACTGTTTTTCAGGTCAAGTCCATGTATCCAGCATACTAATCGAAGCTAACTGTTATACTCAGTCTTTGCTACTTTACTTTCATATAAGATGGACCTTCGAGAAAGTACGGTGACAGAAATGATCCAAAGGGATGAAAGATCAAAATGGTTATCATATAGCAACCATAACATAAAATGCTTCACAGAGGCCGAGATAGGAAGAATTACCAGCAACTATGAAACTATCATTGGAAAAGGTGGCTTCGGAGAAGTTTACAAAGGTGTTCTCCAAGATGGAAGAATAGTTGCAGTCAAGAAATTTGTGTGTAATGTAGAAGAAAATTTTGCCAAAGAGCTTAAAGTCCACTGTGAAATCAACCACAAGAATGTAGTTAGGCTCATTGGCTACTGTGCCGAGGAAAATGCCCTAATGATAGTCAGTGAGTATATATCTAAAGGGAATCTTAGCGATGTTCTTCACCATGAATGCATTCCCATCACAATGGATACACGACTGCGAATTGCGGTGGAGTGTTCAGAGGCATTGTGTTATATGCATTCACAAATGTATACTCAGGTCATTCATGGTGATATCAAGCCTGCCAATATACTATTAGATGACAACTTCAATGCAAAAATATCTGACTTTGGAATATCAAGACTTGTCAACACAGACTCAGCCCTTTTCACTGAGCATGTAATGGGGAGCATAGGTTACATGGACCCTTTGTTTGCTCGCACCGGGCGTCTCACCACAAAGAGTGATGTTTACAGTTTCGGAATTGTTCTGGTTGAATTGATCACAAAGAAAAAGGCAACAGTAAGAAAAGGGGAGACCGGCATAGTTGATTGTTTCATCCAAGCTCTTGCAACAGGGAAGAGAAGGGTGAGAGAGCTGTTCGATGTTGAAATCTCAAGCCAGAACAACATGAAGGTTCTCGAAGGGGTTGCAAAGTTAGCAGGACAATGTTTGAAGATGGAAATGGATGGACGCCCTGAAATGAGAGATGTGGCAGAACGTCTTCGGGCGCTTCGGAAAACTCAAGTTCAAGGGAAACAAACTATTTTTCCTTGGGGTTGGAGGAACAAGCCAGCAGCTCAGAACAGCTGGCAATCTTCTAGCTCAGTCATGCCACAATCTTTGCCATCCTACTTGTGCCGCCATTTCTCACTTACAGAAATGAAATCAGCCACAAAAAACTTTGATGAGTCACACCTTATTGGTGTGGGTGGATCTTGTAATGTTTACTATGGAATGATTGATGGGGGAGCAACCAAGGTGGCTATCAAACGCGGTAGAGTTCAGCAGTGTGTGAGTAGATTGAAAGAAAAGATAGTGGCGGTGGCAAAGCTCCGCCACCATCATCTCGTATCACTGGTCGGTTACTGCAACGAGGAAAACGAGATGATACTGATCTACGAATACATGGCTCGTGGCACCCTGCGTGAGAACCTTTACGCTAACAAAACAGAGGAGCCACCGCTTACTTGGAGGCAGCGTCTAGACGTCTGCATTGGTGTTGCTCGTGCCCTGCATTACCTTCACGAGTGTTCCATCATCCATAATGATTTGTCGACGACAAACATTCTCCTAGATGAGAGATTGGTTGGCAAGGTTCCAATTAAAGTCTATCTGCCACAGGATAGCACGGGCTTTACCACGCAGCCTGTGGGAAGTATCGGTTATATCGATCCTGAATTTTACCGCACTGGGCAACTAACAGAGAAATCCAATGTATATTCTTTTGGTATTGTGCTGTTTGAGGTTTTGTGTGCTCGGGCTGCTTATGATGGTAGTCTTCCATGGAGACAAGCTGATCTGGTATATTGCGCCCTTAGTTGCCAGAAGAAGGGCATCCTTGATCTGATTGTCGATCCCCTTCTTGAAGGAAAGATTGCTCCGCGGTCCTTGAAGAAGTTTGTGGAGATTGCTGAGAAATGTGTAAGTGATCGTGGTATCGATCGCCCTACAATGCAAGAAGTGTCTGAGAACCTGGAGTTGTGTCTGGCAGAACAAAGCGGAAGCCTTGGCGATGAGATGCTGGCTGAAGATGACACTAATGGTCCTTCAAGGACAGAACGTTGGCTGCACCTGGAGATGTACCTTGCAAAACACGATGCTTTGGAATGGTCTAGGGATGCTGGTGGTGTGGATTCCGATTCCGAATTGGCAATGCCACGATGAGCAGGCAGGAAGTGCCGAAGTGGTCACCAATTTCCCTACTATCAATGCTCTCTACTCCACTGACGGATGCCAGAGAATTACTCCATACATGTATACTGCAATTTCTGTTCCTTTCTTTTCTGAAGCGAGTATTTTATTTTTGCATTATGTCTTTCTTCATGCTTTTCGTTATCAGGGTGTTGTGATGGATTTGTCAGGCCGTTCGCCTGCACTATTATTATGTCCTGTTAGGCTTGCGCTGGCTACAGTTTTCAGTTGGGTCATCATCATTATGCATGAAACTGGTTCCTCTGTTTCGTCCTGAATAATAAGACATTATCGATAGTGCTCTACAAGCATCTTGTTCCATCTGAGCGTTAGGGTGCAGAAGAAGCTGGGCAGAAAGCTGGAGCAGCTCAGAAGCGAGAACCCTACAATTCCTGCTATTGCATGGCTATGGAAAACCTGCAATCAGAGAAAGAGCTTTTTCATTGAGGACTGCACATGTGTCATGTGTGATGAGCAAGTTTTGGAGACAAGAGATCACTTGTTCTTTCATCTGCCCCGGTTGGTCTCCCCTGTCTGTCTGCAGGTATTCAAGATCAGCTCAGTCAGTTAGTTCGCCTGCTCAATCTTCCATTTTCTCAGTCAGTTGAAGTAGTGTTGTCAATTTCGTCCTACTCATTAGGGGATGTAGCTCAGATGGTAGAGCGCTCGCTTAGCATGCGAGAGGTATGGGGATCGATACCCCACTTCTCCACTCCTTCTTTTTTCTTGTTTGTTTTTTGTTTTTGCAGATCTGAATACCAAACACCAAAAAAGTAATAGCACCAAAGCGCATCTGGTGTAGTGGTATCATAGTACCCTCCCACGGTACTGACCAGGGTTCGATTCCCTGGATGCGCATTTATTTTCTCATCTTTTTTTTTGTATGGACTTTCAGATAAGCAGAGCAGGGCATGACGCACGATCGATTTCTTACTCTGCTGTTGTTGTTCTTGTTGTATTTGTTTTTCATACTCTTAGGCCCTGGCACAATGGAGCAGTGAAATGATGAACGGCGGAAAGCTGTTCCACCATGAACACTGGGTGTTTTTTTTTTCTTCCTTTGCGGGAAAACCCCTGGGGTGTTTGATAATAGTTACCTTTCTGGATTTCCCTTTGTCGAGATGGTCAAAACTGCGGATTTTTCTTCCGAGGGGACTAGGACGGGCAAAATCCGGCCTGAACCATTTCCAATAGAAGAGAATCATGAAGAAGAGCTTTGCGGGGAGCATTGGCTGCAGCGGTCGGGCCGGAGCATCAAGCCGTCAAGGCAACGCTTCATTTTCGTTGCGGAAAATCTTGCCGTTGCGCCGCTTCCAGGGATTCCATATGGCGGAGGTCAGCGCTGTAGAGCCAACTTTTGCAAAGATGAGAGCCGTTCCAATAATCACCAACCTTCTTGCTGCAACTGTGAACATTCGGAGTGAAGAAAAACGGCTGACAAATGCGATCAAAGCCCATCCAATCTCAGGCGAACCCAGAAGACACCAAACATAGTGTACAAGTACTGCACACAGGGTAATCCGAGAAACCAACTTCTCCTGCTGCTACCCAGAGAACAAGGCACAGATCATCAGTATTCAGAAAGAGAACGGCGTGTCCTAAGGTTCTGCATGTGAAGCCACTCTGAAGCCGGCGAGCCCTGGGTAGTACCTCGGCGCAGCAAACTGCATGCGAGAAGACAAGAAGGTAAACCTTCTGGGGCTAAGGTATATTTTGCTCTTTTTTTTAGGGATGAAGGTAAGGTATATTTTGCTGTACACAAACATGACAACATAGCATCATTTCATAGCAGGCCTGATTACAGATCAAGGGCCGAGATGCATAGTATATTGGCAACACAGTTTGAGAAATCAAGCATTGGAGATAAGATATACTGTACTTACTTCTTTGTACCCATCATCTTTTTGCTACTTGACCATTGAGTTCGCAACTTGACTTGCATCTTTAGTTGGAAAAATGTCTCGGCCCCATTGTGAGCATGGGCATTAACCGCCTCAAGCTTCATGCACAGGAAATGCAGATGACAGCAATCTTCAAGGTATTTATTACTAACTGAACTATAGAGGGCAATACAATTCCATAGAAGCGACAATCTGTGACACAGCATACCTCAATTTGACGTTCCAAAGCTTGGACATAATTGATTATCTCATCGAGGACTGATGTTTTGCAATAATCTAACCAAGGAAGCATAGGCGTTCCAAAGAAGATCATTTACATACACAAAACTAGGGAGGACTTAGAGCTTGAAGATACCAAAGATAAATAGATCTGGATATTAGTGGGACATAATGGAGACATAAAAAATATTGAATTCCTGTTGAGATTAAAATGCACGTTATTACATCCAGGGACAAGATCTTGGAGAATTTTCACCCGCTCGGTTATTTTCTCACAACATGCCTGTCAGAATAGTACAACTTCCAATGATCAAGGGTGTACAAGATAGTCAAAACGAAACAGTGCACTGAACTGACCCTTTCTGCAAGGCTATGGCTGTCGGTTGCTTGACCCCTTTTTGCCCTCACATAGATGAAATCTTGCTTTGGTGGCGGAGGATTTTGATTAACAGCCTTACTAGCATTTCTTGAATCGGCTTCAGCATCTTTTCTGAAACTGCCATTATCATCACTGGATTTATTTGCCTTGAAACGTTTTGCTTCTGCATAGTCTGCACATTAAGGTTCCAGTGAATTAGCGAATAGGACAGACGAGAGGACAGACGAGAGAAAGAACAATTGATCTCTTGCTCTCTGCAGAGGCTGTGCTATGGGCATTTTTTCTTTAGAATATAACAAAAATATTGGCAACCGCCTTCTGGCCTCCCAAGTCAAACAACTATTTAAACTATCAATCGGCACATAACCAGTCAGTATAAGGGGAGAAAATCATATAATGGCACTAGTAAAATGAAAGATCACATATGACAATAATGATAGCTTGCAAACTATCACCAATATGATGCCTGCTAAAATATCACAGTATGTTACTAAATGCAAGTAGAAGATGCAAAACACTCTAGATCAATAGGTAGTTGGCTCAGTACTTCAGTAGTTAGTGCTGGAGATTGTTTGGCCTGCTCCAAGAGGTTTGATGAGACCGTCTCGTCAGAGAATGTTGCGGACCTGGTGATCTGCTTCATCCATTTCTCGAAGGTCTCGTCAGACAGTCGGAGCGGGGAGGTTCTTGTGGGTCGGTTCTGCCAAAGTACAACCACATTCCCCTGACGCGGGCCTTTAGTGGCTAGATCCTCCGGCTGACCCAGGTGGCAACGATGTCAGGTCTGACTCCAAGAGCGCGCCGACCGGTTCCATCGGGATCTTAGCCTGGGTCTGCTCTACCCGCGTGAGCTTGAACGATCACCCGGTGTGCCAATCCGCTGCCTCAGGCGTGTACGGAGGCAATCTAAGGCCCAACCAAGGCAAAGGCAAAGGCAAAGATGTTGATGCTCCAATAACATCAACATCCACTCCGAGGGCGTAACTGTTATGACCCCAATAGGAAGGCCTTCATCTTTGGGGGAAAGCCCTTTAGACGACAGTGGAAGATGCCGAACATATCCTAGGTGTGCCCACATTGGGCTAAGAGTTATTCCATGCGAATCAATTCAAGTATTTGCATGATACGAAGAGCTAAAAGGCCCTAGCGGAAATAAAATCACTTTGAAAGGGCTTGTTGAAAAATAAAAAACAACAAGGGGTCTACTTTCATCCGAGCCTATGTAATGTACACAATAGATGTGCTTATGTGTCCAACAACACAGAGGCACGTCAATACAAAGTACCTAGGACTGGTAACAGACATATCCAGAATAAAGATGGTGAATTTTGCACTCGCCACTCTTACTCATCTGATGGCCAGCATCACCAAGTTTAAAGATGAAAGCTCGAATTTGGAGGGGAACCTCCCATTGCTACATGTTGGAAAAACTATAACTATCTGAATTTGAGGTTCATATATTTATAGCCTTTTCTAACCTGTAGCAATGGGAGGTTCCCCTCCAAATTCGAGCTTCCATCTTTAAACTTGGCGATGCTGGGCATCAGATGGTTAAGAGTAGGGAGTGCAAAATTCACCCACCTTATTCTAGATATGTCTGCTACCGGTCCTATGTACTTCGTGTTGACGTGCCTGAGTTGTTGGATACATAAGCACATATATTGTGTACATCACATAGGCGCGGATGAAAGTTGACCCCTTGCTGGGTTTTTTTTTGGTAGCAAACCCTTTTCAGAGTGATTTTATTTTCGCTAGGGTCTTCCAGCTCTTCGTATCTTGGTATAATGCAGATGCCTGACTTGGTTCGCATGGAAAACACTCTTGGCCCAATGTGTGCACACCCATGATATGCCCGACATCTTCCACAGTCATCTAAAGGGCATTGCCCCAAAGATGAAGGCCTTGTTGTTGGGGTCATAGCATCTATCAATTTTCTGGGATGGTTCTGGTGCATCGCGCGCCTCGAGAAATGAATAGAGCAACCACTATATGATGCCACGGTATGGTGAGAAAAATTCACTCTAAGTCCTATAACTTGCGTCGGCGGTCACTTTAGTCTCTGTGGTTCAAAGTACCCGATATACTAGCCCTAAACTTGCTCATGTGAACCTCTAGAGCAAGTTTAGGGCTAGTATTTCAGGTATTTGAACCACAGGGACTAAAGTTAACATCGACGCAAGTTATAGGACTTGAGTGAATTTCTCTCCGGTATGGTTCAATACAATGCCGACCCCAAAGACAACTGTGCTGCAATGGTTGTTCAATCCGATGAATGGGACAAATGGCAAGTTATATTTGTTCACACAGTACGTGCCGTAAAACACAACAACAGCGCCAAAGGCATCATAGTCCAACCGGGACTGCACGGCTAACCAGAAAAGGTTCTGTAGAAAAAAGTTTGCTGTTGTGTTGTACCTGTAAAAACAATTCAAGATCTCTCTCCTCCTGCGCTGCCGTATAGTTCAGCATGTATT